GCAGTAGCTTGCTCTCTTCCACACAAGGCACATTTAACTTACAGTGAGTTTAAGCAATTCCTCCTTAGAAGGTGGTGGCTTTTTACTGATCTTTGCAGGCTTCTCTTGAATAAGTGGTGGATTTGTTTTGAGACCAAGTTGAGGTGGCTTTGAAAGTAAGCAATATTAGTGTCAGAAATTGAACAATTTGGTTACATTTATTTAAATAACTTTACTGAAACTACAATCAAAAGAAAATCCAGGTTTCCTAATTTTCAATATTGTATTGTGATTTAGCCGCGCATGTGCAAGAGCGACTTTGATAACTGACTTGCAACTATATAAATATATATGCAGTTTAAGAGTTGACAAATTAGGCTATTTACCTGTCCCAAAGGTGGTGTCTGAGTGCGAGGTGGCTGTGCACTGGGAGGAATCATAGTTATCTGGGGCTGAAGCTTTGGCACTTGGTTCTTGTTCATTAGAAAAGATTGAGCAGGTCTCAGGCTAATCTGTAAAATGACAAATCCTAGCCCATCAAAGTATTTAGTGACTTGCCAGGGAACTTCAGAGAATCTCACAAGATCTACCACCATAGCTAGGTGACTCAGGACAAAATATTTTGTAGGTTGATCATGATCTCATGCGAGTTTTAAACTAATGTCTTCAATGGGAATATTTCAGAGTTTACACTGGTAAAACTCATCAGGATTAAGCTATGCGAGTACTTCAACGCCCAAGAACAGGATGAATTAAGGGGAAAAATTCAAACTTGAAGTAAATTTGGTTAACACTGAATATAAAAAGTTACCAGTATATTTGGCTGTTAGGATTACAATTTCAGACAGTACAGCTCAATTAATCCTTGCTGTGGTATTTTGAGAACTGCAATATAGACTCAAAGTGGTCTGGCTGGAAACAGGTACTTCATTATTGGATAAGTCAAGATTTAAAGAAAAAAGTCTGACCTCAGTGGACTAAATGTAACTTTGCATTATTGCACATGCAAGGTCAGTTTTCAGACTGATGTAAAGAGTGTTATTTTATCATGACTCACCACTTCCTAAAGCAGACCTAAAACTATATAAAGCCCCTATATTGAACATATGAAGAAGCCCTTTTTAAAGACAAGTACTGCCTTTCTTTATGAAAGAAGAATCCTGAAAAATTGCCCTCATATCTCATAATCTTGCTCACAGGACACTGGACACCCAAGAATGGAGAGTTAAAGTGAAAGTGGAAAAGGGACAAGGAAGAAAAAGGAGGAGGAGGAGGAGGAGGGGAAGCAGAGTTCCAGCATTTGTCCTCGTAATAACGCGTCTTGCTATAATCATTGGGCAATAGATTAATTCTGCAAGTAGTGTTTTAATACCTCATCTGCATTAAGCTGTCCTTTCTTAGAAAACCGAGGTGGCATATCCTTCGACTGTCCTTGTTGCTGAGATTCAGTTCTGAAATTTTCTTCACAATCATAATAACTAGAGACTTATGTTAAACAAAAAAAAAAAAAAAAAAAAGAAAGAAAGTGCAGATGATGGGGGTGCACAAAATAAGATAGTACCACCAAAAAGAACCAGAAGTTCAATAGAAAATATTTTCCAGGGAAGGAAGGAAAAAACCCAGTAAGTATATTCTATCCCTGAAGCTAAGAAAAGAACCAACACATTATATCTGACTCAAAGCCATTAAAATGTGCACCTTCCTTGGCAATAAAGAGGTCTACCTTGCACCAGACACTCCTTTTTTGTGGGGGGAAGTGGGAGTTGGATGAGGAAAATAAGCACACATTTTCCTACCAGCTGTAAGTCTTATGCAACAAGGCCACATATATTCATCTGTAAGCCTGCAAACCTGTCCTAATCTAAAGAGATTCCAAAACTAAGCTTTACATACACCCAAGTACTAAAAGTCTTCCTTACCTGATTTTTCAAAAAAGATTTGCCTAGGTCTCCAAACTGGGATTGAGCAGGAGGCATGAGATGTCCCCCATGGCCATTGAAAAGCTGATTTGAACGGTGACGTCCCATGGTGGGTGAAAATCTATCCTGAATAACTCCTGGACCAGTACCAATTCCGCTACCTGTATGCAAGAAAGTGAAGAATGCAAGATGCTTTTATACATGCCTGGTATTAAAGAGAATACTACTGCTGCACCAGAGCAACTCTAGTTTTACCTGGCATTTGTCCAAACATATCAGCAAGTCCTCCAAGTGGATCTCTGTCAAGTTTCATTCTGGGTGGCATAAACGGTCCCTCCAGAAAGAAGTCGCTTCTCATCCCTTGAGCCATAGGAGCAGGAATAAAGACTCCCAGATCCTGGAAAGAGATCTGGTTCTTAGTCAATTCATATGGTATGTTCTGGACCTGCAGATCTCTCGGAATTAAGGATGTTAAAATGCTGTTAAATTGACTAGTTGATGTACATTTCAATGGAGGAATGCAGAACGCCACATACAGCCCGGGGCCAGTGGCTGCCTTCTTTGAAATGCACACAAGTCCCCAGTGAGGGCTCTTGTGCATTTCAAAGCCACAGAGCCCAGAACCAGCAGGGGATTCAGAGTCTCTCTCCCTCCCCTGTGACTCCAGGCTCCATATTACGCTGCATGCTGTTAGGAGCCCAGGCTCAGCTGGGCACTCCTGGCTTTCAAATGCACAAGAGTCCCCAGTGGGGACGAAAGACGGCACCTGTGAGCAACCTAGAGTGAGCCAGACTTCCGGCTGGCCCCAGGCTCTTTGCGGAGGTCCACATTCCTTTGAAATATACAAGAGCTTCAACAGGTGCTCTTGTACATTTCAAAGGAGGAATGCAGAAGTGCTTATCGACAAGTCAAAAAACTATCTGATAAGTATTTGCTTATCAGATAGACTAAAATCTTCTTGGTAATCTACTCCGATTCTAATTAAGTATGTTTAAAAACTAGTCGACTGAGTCCAGGAGTTTGACCAACAACTCCTTCATTCATGGAAATGTGTCTCAGATGACCAATAGTGCATCACTGTTTGATGCAACTGTACACGGAAGTACTTACTTTTACTGCATCTTGACGGATTTGATTGATAGTCTTTGGTCCATTGTCAAGAAAAGCTTTGCGAGGAACCCAATTATGTTCTCTCAACTCCACAGTATCCTTTGGGGGAAAAAGAAGAAGCCCACTTAATGGCAAGAAACCTCACAGGACAAACTCAAGTAAGAGACTGGCATGCTTACCTGCAGCAGGAAACGAATCCTTGCTGGCAATTCCTTACTTAACATCAAGGAGCGCATACGGGCAAAGTACTGATCCATTAAGGACTGAGAGGAGAAAGAGACCAAGTTTAACTTAGTGCTTCAGAATTTCAGTTCCCTCGCAATCTGCTTTTTCAGTATCAAGATTACAAGTTACACTTAAATTGTGGCAGTGTCCACAATGAACCAAAAATGGTGAAAGGTAACAGGCTGTTCTTGCCTTTCCTTCAAGGAATTGTTCAGCTCGGACTGTAGTTGAATCCATAAATCTTTTGCCCAGGTCACTGAGGCAAAGAGTCAGAAATATCAATCAATACTATTTAGCTTTATAATAATTCTGACACTGATCAGCTACTAAAAACTACTATGAAGTCATCCCTAAGAGACTATGAGTAAGAGTTAAACTACACATACATGTTCCTTATGCTGTACTAGTTGCTTGTGCTTAGAATGCAGTTCAACAGCATCCTCCCCTCCCCCCAATAGAAATTAGCAGGACTCAACAATTAGTGTTATCTACTCACCCGTGGCTAGTAGATTACAAGCTGGCACAGCCGCGCAGCACGGTCTGCACATGCGCAGTGTGCCGAACCGCGCGGCTGGCGAGCGGGACTCACCACTGCTTGGCAAGCCTTGGAAATTAGTATTCCAATACATAATTCCTCAATTTTCTAGAGTGAAACTTGTGAACAGGCAACTTGGAAGAAAGCCTTAAAGAAGCCATAACAAACACAAACCCCATCACAGATTTGACAAATATTCTAGCATTCTGTCCCTGAGAAATGTGAATGCCATCTACTTACAGCATATGCCATTCACACCGATCAGATGATCAAGACAGCACAAGTCATGTAGATCAGGAATGTCAAACTAAGCCTACTGAGAGGGCTGCACAAACAAAAACTGATAGGAGTACATTTTCTTTGATGGCCCTGAAAGCTAATACAGTAAAACTCCATTAGTCCAGCATCCAATGCTCCGGGATTCCTGATGGTCTGGCACCATCAGGAACCCGGAAGTGCTGGGGCAGCCGGACAGGCTTCCCCCATTCAGCTGCTGCTGAAACTGACCAGCAGCTGCTCTTGGGGACGCCTGGGACAGAGCAGTTGGGGTACTGCCTGGTTGGTCCCGTAGCGCTGCCCCCTGGGGGTGCGCGGCCAA